CACTTTCTTTTTTTTTTTTTTTCTTTCAGAAAGCAGTAGAGGAAAAAGAAATACGATTTTGCGGGGAGGAGGTCCCCGCAAAATATGTAAGCCCGCGGCTGTCCAGGCCGCTGACATTTACGTGCCCTTTTGTGTGAATGTTGCGTGCCTCTTGTGACCCGGAAAACTACATAAAATTTGCGATTACGTGGTAGTGTGAGTGTGCCCTTAGATACAGTCCTTGTTTCAAGGAAGCCCTTTTAGGGCCAGATCCCCCTGGCATTGAGGATTGGAATAAGTGTCTGACAGAGGTAATCCCCTTTTCACTCCCAAGTTGAAACTTGTTTCCAGCTGCATACTTTCTTTGGAGTTGCAGACCATGGGAGGGTGGACCCGGTTTCCAGCACAAGCGTCACTCCCGGGTTGAGATGTTGAGGGATTCCCGGCCTCATTGGATTACTTTTATAATATAAGACGCAACTTGTTTAAAATAATTAAAAAAAAAGAAAAAAAAAAGAAACTGGTCTGGTAATCCGGCTTCACACCCATGTGGAAGCGGGTCTGACACGGATAGTGACCATCCCCTACCTGCTCTGTAACTGCCTTCTTCCCCCGAATACAAGGTAGGGTCATTATATCTGTATTTGAGGCATCTTTCAGTCCAGATACACAGCTATAATGACGGTACGTTGTATTCGGGGGGAGGAAGGTATCTTCCATTTCGCACTCGGACGGTTTTCAGGCCTCACCATAGCCAACGGGAACAAGGTGCTACAAACAGACGCTCAGCACGGGGGTAAAAAACAAAAAGGGGAACCTACGCGGGGGTGACAACAAAGAACTGTGATTGCACTATGGGCCAAGATAGAGTTTCCAATTGCATTTCGGGCAAAATGCATACTCCCAAAACAACAACAAAAAAAAAAAACACCCCAGCTTTCTGGCCAGGTTGTAGGGTGCCCAAAGTGCAATTCCAAACTGAGGGCATACTCAGGGCACACTCACAGGGGGACCAAAAGTCTCAAAAATTTGAGGCATTTCGTTCGGCTTTTTTGGGGCATTCGGTCCCCGTGTGGTCACACAGGCAGACCTCGTCCAGAAAGTACGAAGTTGCGGCCCTGACACCTTGCATTCAGGGCAAGTGCGCCCGGTCACACGGCGGAAGACCAAAAGAAAAGATGGATTTTTTTAATTTTTGTTTTTTCACGCTAGTATAACGCTTGGGCCTTATCTATAACGTAAATGTTCCTGGTCGCACTTTCAGTTGTTTGGCGGGGGCCTTATCTATAACGTAAATGTTCCTGGTAGCACTTTCAGTTGTTTGGCGGGCTTCAGTTGTTGGGCGGGGCTGTCTTCTTCGTCTACTATTCACTTCAATTCGCAAACATAAGAAAAAAAAGACGAAAGGTAATTTCAGACCACCTCCGGAGGTGGTCTCAAAAAGGGTATGCCCGCGGACAGAAGAGTCACCGTTTGAGGCATTTGGGTAGCGAGCCTCTCCAGTGTGACCCGAAAAATGACTCAAATTTTGGGATTTGGGTTCTTTTGGTCGTTGTGTGTGTGCCCTCACACGGCCACCCCAAATCCGCAAAAATATGCGGATTTGGGAAGGGCCGATTTGAGGTTTTGGGCATGGTTCACGTCACACTGCTGTACCTTTTCATATGGGCCAAGGTCGCGGCCGTCTGGAGAAATGGGGATTCGGTACTTGGCTGGTCACACGGCGCCATCCACCAATTGTGCAAGAACTTTTGTGAACGAATTTTTGTCAATTTTTGAA